GAGACATTGCAAGGTGAACGTCTCACAAGAGCAATCAATGGGAGGTATTTGAAGAAGTACTTTCCAAGTGTTTAGCAAGTAGCCTAAGTGTTCTCCAGACAATGGCCGGTGCATGTATCACCCTTAGAACAAAAATGGCTAATGTATATATCACCTTTAGTCGCTGAGCAGCCGATGAGATCGGTATCGTCGTTGTTCGGTTTTATTTGATTAAGTGTTTTTAGGTTCATGCATCATTCACCTGAAAACAAGGGGGCATATGTTGAGAACCAAAATTGTCCATTTTGTGAAGTTGTCAAAATGTGAAACGGACTACATCATTACGTTCCTCTCATCAAGATGGTGAAAAACATATATGGAACGTCTAATTCGGAGTCCAGATGAAGGAGTTATGGCCCCGGGAAGATTCTCCGTTGCTGGAAGTTCCAACACAAGTCGGAAGTTTCGACAGTCGGAAGTTCCGGCAGTTGTTAGAACTTTTGGAAAGCCTGAAGAAACCTGCTCGGGTGCCCAGGGTTATCCCCACGTCAGGAGTTCCAACAAAGGTCGGAAGTTTCGACACCCTTAGCAGACCTAATAAAAGACCCTGCTCGGATCTGGTCTTTTGGATTCTGATCCGAACTATTCCAAACTCGTGGCAAACTTAGAGAATAAGTCTTGGAGAGGTTTCCTACTAGGATAAGACCACCCCCTCTATATATATGATAGGATCATGGCCGATTGAGTTCTCATCTATCCAATCGACACAAAAACACAACAAATCAATCTACTACCTTTCTTTTACCCTCTCTTCTCCTCTACTTCTCCTCGTTCTTCATCGACGCTGCATGGACGGTGGATCAACGATGGCAAAGCTCTAGAGCGGCCAGGCTAGCTAGAGCAGCCCATAGCCGCCGCGTGCCCCGACGGGGTCCCTCCCGGGCATGTAGAGTTTCGGTTCTCAAGAGACCTCGCCGGCGTGTTTTGCGTATCGCACTCCCGGCGAGGCTCCTACAACGATGTGTATTGCGTATCGCCCTCATCGCTGGAGGCACAAGGTCCAGGTGTGGACATCCCCTAGGCGCCAGCCGATCCCAAAATCGGCTAGGCCCTACATCGAGCGATCTAACTCCTTATCGAGTGTGTGACCTAATTAAGCGTCAACACTACCCTCATGTTATAGTAAAAAATTATCAATCAGGCTCCATTAAATGTTTTGTTTCATAGAGCTATAGTTGGAGATAATTGATCGATTGGCACAACCTCATAGTTAAAATTTCCAATATTTGTAGCTAAGAATTTAGAAGCACAAATTCACCTAAGGTTTACATAACTATGGTCAATTTTCCGCACACTGCATGTATCAGTATTTGATCAACTATGACATTCCCTTCACGCATAGGCTCATTTGGAAGATGAAAGTCCCTTTGATGATAAAATTTCCTTTAGTATTTCAGTGTGGACTTATATTAATGAAAGATAACCTAATTAAAATAAATTATCGAGGCAACAGAAAGTGTTGTTTGTGGAACAGTAACGAGCAAATTAAGCATCTGTTCTTTGCTTGCCACAATGCTTTAGATAGTCATTGGGTTAAACACCACCAAAATGGACTTGCATATGCTAGGGGTTGGCTTAATAGCACAATCAACAAGGAAAGGAGAGATCTTTTGTGGTTGTAGGTGTGTTTTTCCCTGTCATTATGGGAAAATAATATGCATCATTTGTGCAAGCTATTTTCAGGAGAACTATTTATTTGGTATGTTTTTTTAGTTGATGCAGTGTGGAGAGTAAGGGTGAGCATTCGTTTGGTATGCTTGGTATACAGGAGATCGCCACCAACTCGCCACAGACCTATTTGCCAAGAATGCATGGATAAACAATAAAACATTTTGCTTCCAGTTTTTGCCCCTTATGGTTATATTTGTGATTCTCTTTATTTTTTATTAGCTAAATATTTGACATGTTGTAAAGATACAGCTGGGTGTACAGAGGCAAAAAATAGTTGCAGAACCACCCAAATTATATAACCCACATGCACCTGTCATTGTCCTTAAGACCTCTGACAGCTGCAAACGAGAGCCAGATAAATTCGGTAGTCTGTCGAGTGTCCTCGGGGAACCCCGAATCATCCACATTTTACAACTCATATAGGATCAAAATGGAGTTACCACAATATTACAACATTTGGTACAAAAATAAATTACATCGAAGTGCGGAAGACTTATAACATTTAGGCTACAAAACACGTTCGAGTAAACTTAAGTTCACAAAGACGAGTAGAATTGTGGAAGCAACTTAGATGAAACATCTAAGGTAGAAGAGGCAGCCAGATCATGTCAAGCCCACCAAAATAACCTCACTTAACAGCATAAGTCAGAACCTGCAACAGAGTTAACAAACCTTGAGTATTCGAAGGTACTCCAGGGCAGGGGCGTGTCGTCCAGTCTTGGTTTCTTCTCGGTTAGCGGCGGCGTGTGTGTCTCCTTGCACTGCACCTGCACGCACGAACGGCGTGTGCTACCGGCCGGATTGTTAATTATTGGCTGATGATGAGTTGAGAAGCCTCGCCGAAGCCGCAGCTGGCGGTGGTGGCCGCCGCGGGTGGCAGTGGCTTCGTCGTCGTCAGCGCGTCGGCGACGACCTTCGCCACGGCGTCCTTGACCGGCTGCTCCTCCCAGTCGGTTCCCGGCGACTGCGACACCAGCGACAGCGACAAGAGAGAGAGACACCGTTAGTCTTTTCACCAAGTACACAGTAGTGTCACACAGGAGAACGAAATTAATAGCACTATGCAAAAAGAAAATTCTCCGTCACTTCAAATTTACGGTACATGTATGGAGTATTAAATGTTGACGAAATCAAAAACTAATTGCACAGTTTGATTGTACTTTGCGAGACGAACGTTTTGAGCCTAATTAGTCAACGATTAGACAATTATTACCAAATACAAACGAAATGCTACATGATACTACAGTGTCGTACAGTGATTTTGCCACTGCCAATTCCAGGCCTTGTTTAGATGTCATCCAAATTCCAAGTTTTTTGACTCTCTCCATCACATCAATTTTTAGCCGCTTGCATGGAGTATTAAATATAGGTAAAAAAATAACTAATTATACAGTTTAGTTGAAATCACGAGATGAATCTTTTGAGCCTACTTGATCCACGATTAGACAATATTTACCAAATAAGACGAAAGTAGTACTATTTATCGGGTTAAAATTTTTTGCAAAGAGAACCAGGCCCCGGACAACTAAACAAGGCCTTAATAGCTTTTCACGATCACACGTAGTGTCGCTGTCAGAATTCAGATACGCCGCCGGCGCCACATGCAGTTAGTCAGTCTGTAATTTCTTATCAACCTGATGCACAACAACTCCTACCTTCTTGCTGTACTACTACTGCGTACCTAGCTAGCCATAGTTTTCTACTTTAAGTCTTCTTCATTTTCACACGTTGCCTTGCATACATGCATGGTTTACTTTGGTACGTAGCAGATACTAAATAATCTTCCTGATAAATATAGTAGTGTAATATATATCACATCCAAATGAAAATGTTATAATTCATCCACTGTTAACAACTGTAATAACTAACCTAGTACTAGCATGTATGTCAGACTTAATCATCCATCGTCAATTAATGATGCATGCATGACTTAAGACGATCGATCATCATGTCATGTGAGACAGATATTGGATAGTGGAGTATACCTTGATTTGCATCGTCAGGACAACAGCTCGTGGAGAGGCGTTCTTCACTCCGGTAGCAAGCCCAGCGCCGCCGCCGCTGGTGCTCATTGCCACCAGGCTGACGCCATCCCCGATCTGCTCTTTCAGGCACTGCAGTGTCCGGATCACCACGTCCGTCATGTTAGGCGACGACGGCGGCCGCGGCGACCTCACCGCTATCTTCAGCGTACAGAGTTCTTCGTTCGCCGCCCTGGTTATCTCGACCTGCACCTTCGTCGTCTCGCCGGAGTCGTGGTCGTCGCCGCCACTGCTGCCGTCCTTGCGGCGGCCGTCCCGGCGGGTCAGCCGCGACTCGAGCGACTTGTTCTTCTCCTCGAGCTCGGCCACCTTGGCCTCCAGCAACCTCACGTACTCCCTTGCCCTGATCAGCATCGACGTCTTGTCCTTCTGCATGTCGTACAGAGAAGATCGACGGAGCAAATGAAACTCGTTCGTCAGAAGCAGCTCATGCATGCATGTATGATCAGACACAAAGACATGACATATACACACACGATCGTATACGTACTTTGGAACCAGGCGGAAGGACGGCCTTGAGGGCGTGGAAGCTATCGTTGAGCTTCTCTCGCCGCTTGCGCTCCGAGACCATGTGCTGCAGCTGGTTCACCGACGGCGGCTGCACCGCCTCGGCAGCCGCCGCCGCCGCCTGGTAGTAGTACTGCTGCTGGCTGTACCTCTCCGCCACGTGCATCTTGGACAGCACCGACATGGCCGTCTTGAACATCCTCTGCCCACACGCGCCGGGCTTCGGCGGCCTCTTCGGCCCAAGGTGGCGCGCGTAGTGCTTGAACGCACCAATGGTTTTGGCCGGCGACTCCGGCGCGTGAAGGTTGGTGTACTGGTGGTCGTAAGATGGCACCACGGGTGGTGGTGGTGGTAGTAGTGGCACGTGCGACGAGACCTCCGGGTACTGCTGGTTGCAGCCGCCGGCCGCTGCCGGCGCGGCGAGGATGTGCGCCGAGGAGCTCTCGGGGCTGCAGGAGAGGGAGGTAGAGGCAGGCAGCGAGAGCGAGGAGGAGGACGACGAAGGGAAGCTGTAGGTGGCGTGGTGGTGCGGGTCGTCGAGGAGGCGTTCCACGATAGGATCGTGCATGCCGATGGTGGTGGCACCGTCGTTGGAAGACATGTAGACTGCTGCTTCGTCGTCCATGTTCATGCGCATGCTGATCTGCATGTTGATCGATAAGCAGTTAAGAACCTTCATTTATGTGTCTGCCTGAATCTCTGTATGAAGTTTGCAGTGTGATTTCATGATTAAATTTGTCGCTAGCTTGCCTGGTTGAGGTGGTGCTGAATCTGCGAGCTGATGAGAAACTGCTGCTGCTCGCCCTCCATGAACTGCAGGTCTGCAGGGCTGCAGCTGTGTGCATGCGTGCGTGCAGAATGATCAGTCAGATCAGCAAGTTACCAGAAACAAGCTAAGAGCAAGAGCACTCAACTACCTTGAGCCAAGAAAACCATACCTGCTGGCACCGTAGCCGCACATGAAGCCGCCGCCGGCGTTGGTGGTGGCGTAGCCATGGAGCCAGCTGCGGCTATCCATGTCCATGCTACCTGTCTCAGCTAGCTGGGCGTCGCTGCTTCTTTAACAAGCCGGCCAGCTGTTATTAGTTACTTGCTTGTTCTACGAATGAAGAAGCCGATTAAGTTCATACGAGACGATCTAGTCGACTGTCGACTACTATAGTAGTAGTACTAGCAGCTATACCAAAGCTGTATATAGTACGTGAGAGATGATGGATATATGGAGGGCCCGTGGTCTGGATGCGTATATATAGATGGAGATAGCTTGCTAGCTAAGCTTAGCTAGGAATGGACGAAGATGCTAAAAGGCCAAAAGCTGTATCTCTTTGTTGGGTGCGTTCGGACCATGAAGAAGGAATTGAAGGAGATGGATGGATCGATGGGGAGAGAACGCACGTGCTGGTTTCGAGTGAAGAAAACCTGGTGGAGTCACGGCCGGGGAGCGACCCGGATGAGTTACGGTCAATTTGGTTTGGCTGCGCAGCGAGAAAGAAAATGGCCAACCGGTGGAAAAGAGAGGGACAGAGAATGGGCTTACCTAGCTAAAAGACACCTGTGTATATATCTTACCTAACTAAGGTTTACTCTTCTTTACAACGAGCCTCTCTTGGATCCATCCGTGGCGATGGATCGCATGATATCCCTGTTCTAAATCAATCACTTTTTTAATCATCTCATCACATCTTATCTCATATCATCTTATATCAGCTCGTATCCAACAGTACCATTATTTTATTGATGGATCTATGATGCAGGGCAGAGGATCGAGTCTCCATAACCGAGGAGCACGACAATTCGAATCGATTAGGCCCAGCTAGGGTTTCCTTACCATACGACATATGTAGGTCTTAGACCTACATATAGCAACCTTCACTCGGATCCTCCAAAACATGAATGGGTCTAGCGCTACCCGAGAGCACAGTACTCCACCTCCCTACGCTATTCGACAGTGGATTCACAGGATGTGTACACGCTACTCTCACCATCTCTCCACTCCTAGTGCGCGGTTGGCCTTTCACATAATGGAATAATTGGGGTATTAGGCTTACCGGAGTATGTTATACAAGTATGCTATATTGTTTGTCCCTACCTAAAGCTCCACATAAACCTTCTTAGAAGTAGGAGAAAACAAAAGAAGGCAAAACTTTGCTTTGCCTTACTGAGTGATTTGAGAGTGCCATTTGAGGAGTATAAAGTGAACTATGCTTTTCTTAAAAAAAACTCTCAAAACTCCAAGTGCTAAGATGTGAAATTGGGAAGATGACTTTGTTTCGAGAACTGTTCCACTTTTCAACAACCTAAGGAAACATGTTAGCTAACGCCACATATCCCACTTGTGTAAAGAATGTGTTGGAATAACTTTCATGTAGAGCTGTATATCATGGGATATTATGCTCATGATTACTTTTATCTCTAACTTTGCTCGAGGACGAGCAAAGGGATAAGTGTGGGGGAGTTTGTTGGCGGTCCTTAACTCACATTTTTAACTGCCAACATTTGCATAAAATCCACTGAAATAAGCACCAAACTTAGTGATAGGGTTTATAACTAACGAATTCCACGAGTTTTGGAGATTTACCATTTGCAGGAGGGCAACTGTGGAAAAACACATAAAAGGCTAAGAATGTGCAAAGAAATAAAGCATAGACACCATTCTACACAAGCCCAAAGAACGAGGCCCATTACCAAACAAATCAGGGCGCAGACAAAGGGGAGTATAAGGCCAAACCCAAACCAAATCATCGTATCTTCGCAGAACACCGCCATGGCCCAAGTTAGGAAGCCCAAAGGAGCACGCTCACCAAAGATGGGCTGCTTCGGAGCCGATAAGGGTGCGGCCGCACCCGCGCCCCAATCTGGCTTGTTTGGCCCCAACTTTGGTCGGTTGAAAGATACCGCCTTGCCCACGTCGCTGACAAGGTGCTTGGCCAGGTTCAATGTATCTACAAGGCGGTTTAGGGTTGGTTTGGTACCTTCCATGAGGGGAGGAAGCATTTTCCAAATAGCCCCCTCTTCTCCACCTATAAAAGGAGGCCCTAGCTAGCTCTAGCAAAGTAGTAGGGAGAGATGTGAGGGAAAGTTCGGGGAAGAAGTGTCGGGCTTGTCGGTAAACTTCCCCCGCTTGTACCTCGGCGAGTATCTTAGTAAGTGTTAGTGGTTCTTTTGGTTATAAAGTCTTTGACTAGCTAAGCGATACTTTTACTTGTTTGTGGGTTCATCATCCATCCCTGTGATGGATGCTCTAGTAGAAGGGTCCTGATAAAGACGGATAACCCTAGTTAACATGCTAGAGTAGTAGTCGATAGCATAGACGTGGTGTCTAGACTGGAGGCTACCTTCGTTTGCTTCGTATCCCATGGTTGAGGGGTAGGCAAAAGGTGGTGATAGCCCTATCCGTCCCTTGTAATCCCCCACATTCGAATACGGTGTAGAGTCGTACGCCGGTATCGCCTGGCAGACTAGCTGTGCTCCGGTGCCCGAAGTAAGCAAGTAGAAGTAGAGTTTATCTATCCTTAGACCCTAAGCCATAGGAATCCATCTCCACCCTCATCCGCTATCCTTGTGTTGTCCTTGGACGAGTTAGTTAGAAGAAATACCTTCGTTTCCTATGGAAAATACGATACCCTGAATACTTCCGGGTGAAAGCTACAACGGTAATTCCGTACGTTTGCGGATTAACTTCTGTAGACGTTAAGAAATACCAATGCTTTATCACCCGCCAATGGAAGAGGGGTGCTCCACTGATCGCAATGGTCACCTTCTTCGACAACATTGGTTACCGCTGCATGACTGCTAGCAATGTTGCCATCAATATCAACGTCAGCGACCGCCTCCACTCAATCTCGCCTTATGACCTCAATGGTGTCTTTAAGGGACCGTGACGCCTAAGAGGGGGTGAATTAAGCAACTTAAAATTCCACTTCTAACTATGGCCTCTAATTTTCACCTTAGCAAAACCTATGCAAGAAAGTAATCTATCTAAATGTGCAACTACGGTTTTGCTAAGTGTGTTGCTATCTCTACTACAAAAGAGGTATGCAACCTAGGTTCCAATCCTATCAACTAGCCTATCAAACTAAGCTAGGAAAATAATCACTCAACCAAGGTATATAATGTAAATGCGGAAGGTAAAGGCCGATAGAGATGCAAACTCCCATCGATGACTCCAGTATTTTTACCGAGGTATCAAGAAGCTCTCAAGCTTCCGCCTACTCCTCGTTGGAGCCCTTCGCAAGGGCTAAGCTCCCGGTCGGGTAACTCCGCGGATAGCTCCGGCCCTTACCCACACACAAGTGGGTCTCCGGTGTGCCTTCCGGCAAGCCTCTCCCAGACTGCTCCCCACCATCTTCACTATCAAGCTTTCGGCCAAACCACAGCGGGCCTTGTTCCCTTTGGTACATGGTGGCGACCACACCACAAACGTGGTTGGTGTGATCTCGCAAGACTATAAGCCCCGCCGAGTACAATAATGGTGCGCGCAAGCATTGAGTGGTAAGAGGTATGCAAACCTCACTAAACACTAGGCCTAAACCTAGAGCAAGCGCTAACCGGTGGTCTAATTAACCTAAGCACTTTACAAAGCACCTATGCTAATCACCTAATATTTCACTGAACACTTTTGGTCGCTAGAGCAACTAAGATTGAGTCTCAACTCATAGAACAATTCCTTGGGCTCTCACACCATCGAATGGCCAGCCATGGGGGTATATATAGGCCCCCAAGCAAATAGAGTCATTGGTCCTTGGGAAGTGCATTTTCTGCACTGACCGGACCTGACTCTCGGTCATGATTGGACTCTCCTAGCAGAGTTTGGTCACATGTCAGTGACCGTTGAGGCCGACCATTGAAACATGTGGATACTGATCGGACTCTGCCTCGAGTCCGATCTTATATCACCGGACGCGTCTGGTCACATCGCACGCTCTCTAGAATCTCTCTGGATACGATTGGAAGCCATTGCTGGCGCATCTGGTCATCCACTACCACCGTGTACGGTCCTCACTGAGCTGTTGTCGCGCTGATGAACACTGCCGCCGTGTTCGGTCACCTTTAGCCCTCAGAGTCCGGTCATTGCGTCAGATCACTTCGCTGCTGGGGTTGCCATCGGACGCATCCGGTCCCTGCTAGGGTAGCGTCCGGTCCTCTTTGTCTTCCCTTTCTTCACTTGTTTCTTCGCGATCCTAACGTTCGGCTTGGTTCCAATCTTCGTGCTTAGACTTTGCTTGATTTCTAAGGTCTTCCATTGTGGTTCTAAGGTCTTGCTTGAGGTGTTGATCATAGGATCATCACATCGCCTTCGTTCAAGTTATGTTTGTACCCTATTGTACTACAAAACAAACACTCGCAACCACATTAGTCCAATTTGGTCTTGTTGATCGTCAAGCACCAAAATCCAAACTAAATGGGCCAAGGGTCCATTTTCCTTACAGCATCAACTTCATGTTTGATGAGATGCTTGTTGATATTTCTTAGCATCACTCTTAACTAAGTTGTCATCCCTAGCATGATGCCAGAAATGCGTTGTTGGTAATTATGAGAACACTTGTAAACTATATATATAAGGTATCCGCAAGCACACAGATAATATACCATTGTAGCATTTCACCTGAGAGTATACCGAGTATCGTTATTTATATTTTATCCACGGGGAGGAGCTATGGGGCTGTATTGGCATAGAGATATTGACAAATATGTATACTTATGATAAGACCACTCTGATGCTATGGCAGGGGTAAGTCAAGTGATAAATAAATGATAAGTGTAAGGTAATAATGGTATTCTAGAGATAGAAATAGATACTCATAAAATGTAGTGAGGCTAAGCAGGAGATTCGTTAAGAGCAAAAGATTCCTAAGTCATTACTTATCTACTAAGTCTTTTGTACACCCAAGTATATATACTCTCATTTATAGTATAACTAACTTTAGATCTATGCATAAGGAACATTACTAAGGAAGATTAAGAACAGAGCTTGTCTTCCTTCGCAATCACGTTCTACGTGCTCTACAAATGGGGAGTGGACTA